TGTGCCTGTATTTGCGCCTGCATCTGCGCTATCAAATCTCTGGTGTGTTGTTCTTCCTCCATGCTCCTCGTGGTCACCATTTGGGTTTGCTGCTCGGCCCCACGGTGGGCGCCAAAATGTTTCGGTGGATAATTTTGGGACCGAGAAACTAACCTGTTGACGTGTCTGGGCCGCTCGCTCGCTTCCAAACTCCTGCTATTGGCCGATCGGTGTTGGCACAAACCGATCGGTCTCTTTCTCGACGAGGGAGGATGTACCTGCAAAAGGTACTCCGACGCCCAAGTTAGGCATGTGATTTGAAGAGCCTCGACTCTTGGTTGAATATTTAGTGAATGATTATCACTATTGAGTATTTGAGAGTAACGTAGAGTAAATCATGCCTAAGTGGAACTGGAACGTACCTGACTTTTGGCCCTGACTTTGTATTTATAATTTACCTCATGGATCTTAAGCTGATATAAGCCCAATAAAATATAAACAGAATAAGATATAAACAGATTACCTGAATATCCGGTTGGTTGTTGGTAACCACTCAGTTAATATTTTATACTGTACACAATGTATTTTTTTCAATTTTATTCTTTAAATAATTGTTATTTTAAATTAAAATAATTATATTTTTAAACAACTGGTAATCTAAATTTAATTATTTTATAATAAAATAATTATTTTACTATTTTACTTTTTTTAATAATTATTTTTTCAATTCAAATAATTATTTATAATAAGTAATTATTTAAAATAAAAAGTTATTTAATAATAAAAAATTATATATTTCCACCCTAAAAAGCACGAGATCTGAGGACTGTTACACTTCAACTCTAAAGTCCAATCCTCGGCTGGAAAACGAAGAAGAAGGAACAAAATTTAGGTTTCGAGATTGCAAGATATTAAAAAAGGTTTACGCCGCCAACACCGTAAAACCTCAATCATCCTCGTCGTCCTTCCTCTTTCAAGCACCGCAATCTCTCTGTGTCTCTGTCTCCGCCGCCATGTCTTCTGCCTCCGTCCCTGATTCTGTGTCCTATGACACCCCCAAAAGCAAATCCCTAACTGAACTACGACCCATCACTGGCGACAAAAGTGATTCCGATCTAAACCCCTCACACCTAGGTGGGGATTCGGGGAAGCAGAATAAGCGGAAGAGAAATGATGAGTCCCAGAGGAGAGAGACGAAGAGGCACAAGGCCATTGAACACTTTTCATCAAGGAGAAAAGAAGAAGCGGAAAAAGAAAAAGCAGATGTTGTGCCTCCCTCTACAATGTCTCCTAGGCTTCGGGACAGGGGACTTGAATCCAAATTTCCCATTCGCGATGATCACTATGTGCGTCACACCGATCAGGTCTCTCCATATTTTCATATCCCAATCGCTTGTTATTATTGCTTATACAGGGTTCAATTTTTTTTATTATATTTAGGACCTTTATTTCCATGTGCATAGTTAGTTTTCTGGATGGATCTGTAACGTGCTTTGCTGCTTTTGACTTGTTTAATATTATCTGAATTGTCTCGGAGCTGTCGTGTAGGATAAATTTTTTCCCTTTGTGTTGTCCACACATCTCGCTTCATGTGTTAATTTTGTTTCAAAAGTGGCTTAAGAGGAAATGAACGTAATTGTATATGATTATTGATGTCTGATGTGTGGTTGACTGTGTTTTGATTCTGCTGGAAATGTCTAATGGGGTTAGCTTTGTTGGCTCACGAGAGCTAATGATGTCATGAGATTACCGAAATGGTTATTGAAATGTCAAATGCTTGTTAACTTGGTATTGGAAGGGATTAATAGTAATCGTATTTACAGATGAACGCAACAATGTCCATTAAAAAAAACTACTTGTGAGATAGAGTTAACTGTATTTATAAATTTCCTCAGATCTTCCCCTCATTGCTCATTATTGCAACCTTTTTGATATATGTTTAAAGTCATTTGTGAATTCTCATTTACAGACCTGGCCATCTAAAGACGGAGGTAGAGTGCATGGTGATAGACACATACCATCTTCTGCACATGTCATTTCTAATGCACCAAGTCCACCTGATACTTCTAATACTACTCCAGTGGTACAACCTTCGTCATCATTCTCTGGGAAGACACCACTACCTAAGCCAGCACCATTGCAACCACCAGATAAGACCTTAAGTGAAAATTGTAAGGTCGACTACCATAAACCACGAATGTTGGAGCAAAATGATGAGAAACATCAGAAGAATAAGAGGGTATGTGAAGAATTAGTACAAAGGAGCAGCACTATACATGGAAAACAGAGCGGCCAGGTTGATATCTCTCGATTAAATTTAGAAGATCATACTAAGAAAGTTCAGAAGTCTGAAAGAAACAGATGCTCTACACAAGATATTGCCTCTGGGTTTATGGATGATAACAACACGAGGGACATACAGCTTCACAGTAATGTGGAAACCATTTCTGAAGTTCCAGTTGAAGCTTCTGAGGGGAAAAGCAGGGAGAAAGGAGATAAATACATGGGAACTAATGATGGTTCAAAGCAACCTGCAAATAGTGTGTCTGTTAGAAATGTCTTGTGTGATGTTAAATCTGAGTCACAATTTGTTCACAAGAGTCATGTGACTGGGAGAAACCATTTGTCAAAACCAAGGCACACTCGTGATGATGTTAAATCTGAGTCACAATTTGTTCACAAGAGTCATGTGACTGGGAGAAACCATTTGTCAAAACCAAGGCACACTCGTGATGACCACATTTTGCGCAGAGAAGATGACCACATTTTGCGCAGAGAAGATAAGCACATTTTGTGCAGAGAAGATGACCACATTTTGCACAGAGAAGATGACCACATTTTGCGCAGAGAAGATGACCACATTTTGCGCAGAGAAGATGACCACATTTTGCGCAGAGAAGATGAGCACATTTTGCACAGAGAAGATGACCACATTTTGCGCAGAGAAGATAAGCACATTTTGCGCAGTAAAGGCAAGCACATTTTGCCCAGGGGGGATAAGCGAGCTGTGTCTAGAAAGCCCTTGCGGCCTCAAGGACTTTACCGACCTGACATCAATGCCACGTTGAATGCAAAAAGTGTTGAATTGCGAAAACCTGGTGGTAAAAATCCAATGCCTTTTGCATGTGATACTTGCCATCTTAAGCTTTTGTCAAGACAAGGTTACGACGCCCATATAAAAGAGTTTACTCACATCCGTAAAGTAGAGGAGGTTAGTAAAAGAGTTACAAACCTCAAGCAGGCGGTGTCTGATGCAATTAATATTCTAGTTCAACGAGGTGATGGTAATAGTGCACTTTTTGTTGAGCTCCTGACGACTGTTCTATCTAAAACACAAGTTACAATAACAGAACCTGCACACACATCTGTTGATGGACCAAGTTCTGAACCCCAGTTATTGCAATCAGAAATCCAAGCACATGTTGATATTGAAGATTCTTCCGGCAAAACAAAAACTGAGCTGGCAGTGGATGTTGAGATACCGGGGGCACCCACATCTATGGCTGGACCAAGTTATGAAGCCCAGTTGTTGCAGTCACAAGTATCAGAAATCAAAGCTCGTGTTGAGAAGGAAAATCCTTCCCGTGAAACAAAACCTCGGCTTGTGGTAGCCGCTGAGATATTGGCACCCACATCTATGACTGGACCAAGTTGTGAACCTCAGTTGTTGCAGACACAAGGTTCAGAAATCAAAACACATGTTGAGATGGAAAATGCTTCTGGTGCAACAAAAGCTGAGCTGGCCATGGCTGCTGATATACCATCTCCCGCATCTATGTCTGGACCAAGTTATGAACCTCTGTTGCGGACTCAAGCATCAGATACCAAAGCTCATGTTGGCATTGAAAATCCTTCAGGCGAAATAGAAATTGAGCTTGCCGTGACTGCTGAGGTACCTGCACCCACATCTATGACCGGAGTAAGTCATGAACCCCAGTTATTGAAGGCCCAAGTATCAGAAAGTAAAAAACATGTTGAGATAGAAAATCTTTCAGACGAAACAAAAACTGTTACCTGTCCCACTGAGGTCAAAAGCTAAGGCAGGTGCAAGTGTCAGCGCCCAAAGTGGAGAGGGTTCTGAAACTAAAAGGCTGTAAAATTTCCTCAAGATGGTTCAGTTGTGATACCCGCTTCTACCCAAGCTTTTTTATGACCAAATACCTTCGGAATATGTAGTTCCCATTGCTTGGTAGGACTAAAGAATACTCAACTATTCTCTCCCGCACTTCAATTTTTTCATTTTCGGGGGGCTTCAAAGATATTTACATATTTTCTTGGGATATGAATTTTGCCAGTCAATGCAATGTTAGGATGTCCCAAAAGTTTTTTTTTCTGCAGTAGCACGTGTGCTTTTTTATATTCTCAATATAGCACATTGTAAAGAATATTTACCCTGATAACATGGTTTTCCTGTAGAGAATTTTTTAGTTAGAAATCTGAACTTGTTTTTTTAAAACTATAATTTTTATATTTAATTCTTGTAGTATTAAAGTATAGTTTTAAAAAGAGTTATATTTATTAGATTAACAACATATTTATATTTATGGTTGTATGTTGTAAAATTGAATTTTAAATGTACAATTAATTATTTTTAAATATTGAAAAAAAACTAGAAGAAAAATAAATTAATTAAGAAATACAGAACATTTAAGTGTAAGTTAATGTAGCCATGGTTGATTTCTAGTTTTAATTAAAATTAGAGAAATTAAAAATTAAATTCAATGTATAGATTATTAAAAATTAAAAATAAGTGTGCAATTGATTTAGTGAAAACTTATTATAAATAAAAAAATTATTCAATTACAATTATGTTTTAAATAAATCTTTTGTTTTTCAATTACAATTATGTTTTAAATAAACATTGTTATGTATAATTGCTGGATTCAATAAACTGGGAGTTCACAATGGAATATGAGTCCGACCTGTGCTTCTAGCCGAGGTAGCCCAATTCCAACCTGTTTATATTTAATATAATTACAAAACAATTATAAAAGAAAACAAAATACATTTAGGTATAATTACAAAACAATTTTTATTTAAAGTATAATTGTAATTGAATAATTTTTTTTCCTTTATAATAAGTTTTCACTAAATCAATTGCACCTTTATT